GTATTTGTTGAATAAATGAGGTGCCCTCTACTCACATATACTGACTTCTCTCTGCTGGTACAGTCATACTATGGGGCTGGGACATCATGGGCAGGATAGTGGTTGATGTTGCAGCTTTCCCTCCTGGCCAGGAAGTCAGACATGGGGACCAGCAGGGAAATCCCAAGGTCACAGGGCCATGACTACATCTGAGCCCATCTGGCTGTCCCCAGCTGAGTCAAGGCTATGTTACTCAGTCCAGAATGGGCCAAGGCTGCAAACCAGAGCCAGGCCCAGCAACAGGGTGTGGGTGGCTACTTACGAGTGTCCTGTGGGGGAAATGAAGTAGAGGCAGCAATGGACTCGAGTGTCGGGGATGCGTTTCTTCCTGGCGATGTTCACTTCCTCCTTCAGGAACTTCTCGTACTGTTCATTGATGTACTTCTCAATGGGCTCCCAGCTGAGGGCGGAAGAAAGCAGATGGTGTATCGCAAGGACACACCTGGGATCTCACCTCAGGTATGGTCAGTAGCCATCCCCTCTCACCCACCTCATCTCCTCCCTCCCACGGTGGGTCTAGGATACATTCTGCACCTTGTCAGGAGCCACCTGCTGGCTGATTCCCTCTCAGCCCACCATGACGGCCTTCCTATTAGCAAGAGTAGAACTCTCCCTCTTTCCCCAGTCCTCTCCCTGGGCTATTGGAACCTGCAGAGCCCTGCCCCACTCCATAAATCAATGCATACTTTCACCACCTCTGCTACTTACTAGCTGAGAGGCTCTGGGGAGTTCGCTGCCCCTCTCCTTTCTATGCTTCAGTTTTTTCATAAGTAAAATGGGAGTAACAATAGTTGCCTGGTAGGGTTCATGTAAGGATTAGAAAGAACATACGTAAAGTACTTAACATACCAATGGCACACAGAAAGTACTCGATCGTGATGACAATCCACTATTATTATTGTTGTTAATATTACCTTTCTCTATAAAGAAGCATGCTTATAACCAAAGAAGAGGGCAGCCCAGCTACCGCTACCAACTGCTCTGACCGGTATCACAACAGAGCATCCTGGACAGAGCGGAAGAAAAATGTAGAACAAAAAATCAAATTCACAGAAAAGACCAGACTTACTGGCCTGACAGAGACTGGAGGAACTCCCAAGGCTATGGTCCTAAGACACCCTTCTGATCTGGAACTGAAGCCATTCCTGGAGACCACCTTTCAGCCAAACCATAGACAGGCCCGTGAAATAAACAATAATACCTGAGAGGAATGTGCTCCTTAGAACAATCAATTATATGAGATCAAAAGGGCAACATTTGCCCAAAAGCAAAGATGAGAAGGCAGGAAGGGATAGAAAATCTGGATGAAAGGAATCAGGGAACCCAGGGTGGGAATGGGGAGAGTGCTGACACATTGTGCGGAAAGCAACCAACGTCATAGAACACTTTATGTACAAACTATCAAATGGAAAACTAATTTGCTCTGTAAACTTTCACTTAAAGTACATTACAAACAAAGCAGTGGGCAACCAGGTATGTTTCTAAGATCAGTACAGCCATTTCCCAATTGTGCTGTTAGGTGGACCTGCCTGTCTGTGGCAGACTCCAGCTCCCTTACAGAGACACAGGGGTCCCCATCTCTATCTGGCAGCAAATGTCTGCCTGGAACCTTCCAGCTATATTCTGGTCAGCCTATTTCACCCCTTCTTGGTTGAAGGCTGACTCAGCTTTGCTACATGCCCTTAACGCAGCTTTTCTCTCTCCTCCTGGAAACACCCCTTCCTCTTGGGTTTTAGTCCTCCTCTTCTCACTAGGGTTATGACTTCTGGCCCACAGGCCAAGCTCTCTGCCACAGCCTTCAGGTCTGCCTGGGTTTGCATCTCAGCTCCCTTGTCCTGCTGCCAAAGGTAACAGATCTACTCCCACCTCCTTGCAACCCCTCAGCTGAAATTCCCTCTGCACTGCCCCCTCCATCCCCACACCTGATCTCCATCTGGGCTCTTTCCCTGCCTCTTTACAAACCCACTCTCCCATGCTTTAGCAA